TTAATGATTTATTTTGGGAAAATATCATCATCAATTCTTCCTGAGAAAATTTTTGGGTTCTGGGTTTGTAATTTCTAACCATGTTAAAATTTTTAAACAAATGGAGAAAAAGGTTCGACCTAACCTCATAAAAATAGCCCCAATGCCACCATTTTGATTAAGATAATATTTTAAAGTATTTATAATATCAATTTTTTTCTGGAAAATTGATATTCTATAAAATAGAATTTTTTCTTTTATATAAGATAATTTTTGGGTGGTAAAAATGTCTATTTATCTTTATTTTTGAAAATTAGTAAAGTTTTAAAAAGTTACATTTGCAGGTACAAATCAGATAATGCTTTATAAAAATTATTCAAGCTGCCTGATATAAATAAAAATTATTGCCGCATATGCATTATATAATTATATAGTTAGTTTTGGTAAAAAAAATTATCCCTTAGAGTTTAATACTCTAGAAAATAAAGCCACGTCTCGCTATAACCCCGGGTTCATTATATCCCCGGTCTCCCCTAATGAGTTATAGCACCATCAGAAAAAAACATTTTCGATTTTTAAAAACCAAACATTTTAGTTTGAAATAAATTTTAAAAAATAGTTCTTAAATCTGCAAATTTGTTAAAACTTACTTTAATACCAATATTCTTTAAAATTAGAATATAATTCCATAAGATTGCATAAAATGAGTCTTGTCTTAAATTGGCATTTCTCTCCTTAAACCTTTATTTTGATATAAAATGGTTTTTATCGCATTAAGCTGTTTTAATCGGAATAATAAAATTTTCTAATAATATCTAAAATATAATCTCCAAAAACATTCCTAAGCTTTATAATATTTGGATTGGATAACACCTTTTTCCTTGATAAATTTTTTTGCTATCCTTGCCTGAATTCAATCATAGAAATATAGTGCTGTAAACATTTTTATAAAAATCGAACGCGTTCAACGTTCATTGACAAAAATCGAACGCGTTCACGTTCACGAAAGGTGAACGCGTTCATACGTTCAAAATTTTATGATAAATTTTTTTTAAAATTAAATTTAATATAAATAAATGCCTTATATTTTTCAACACAATATATTAGCCATGATAAAAAATTAGTTTTATTTTGATAATATAATTATAAAACAATATAATAGAGCGATAAAAAAATAAATTTATAAAAAATTTTTCTTATTAATTTTTAATAATAATTGCTTTTCAAAATTTTCATCTGATAGGCATGAACGCTTGGAAGTTAATACAGCGTTAGCTATACTAAAAACTATTGAATTACCTTTTGATTTTAAAACAGTGAAATATTTATGATATTTGGGCCATGGTAATTCTAATTCATCTAATATTGAATTTTGATTTTCAGAATCGATGATGAAATATTTATATCCATGCAATTAATAAACTTTAATCTTATCTTCTCTAGCAATAGCACGTTATGGTACGTTAATTGCAATATGAAAGAGGGAAAAGTAAAAAGATTAAAAAATATAAGACTTTTTTGTTAAAAAATTGGATTAAATATTAATTTTTCAAATAAATAAAAATATAAGACTTTTTTGTTAAAAAATGCGGATTAATATTAATTTTTCAAATAAATAAAAATAAAAAGTGTTTTTAAAATTGAACGAACGTAAAATTGAACGCGTTCATCAAAGAAAAGGAACGCGTTCACGTTCAAAGTTCGTCAAAAAAAAAGGAACGCCGTTCATCATCTTTTTTCAAAAAAACGAACTTCGTTCACGAACGCGTTCATTTTGAACGCGTTCGTTTACAACACTATAGAAATATCTTCTTGTTTTTATATAAGAATTTTGTAAATCCGTCAATATCTTAATTTTTTCATTTTGAGAATGAAATTTATTTTTCAATTGCTTAGTGATTTACATTTATCGTCAATATTATAATTAGGGGAGACCGGGGTTATGGCGAACCCTAAAAAGCAATCCTTAATAAAACCAAAAGTACATTATCATTTTTAACAAAAAATATTCAGCTCTATTAGTTTTATGGTAAGTTTAAATTTCAAGAATACATTATAATACTTTTTTCATAATTTCATTCTTTCTGAATTTTTTTTTGGAATGATTGAACCCCATCCCGGGACGAATTAGTCTTTGCTCGGGGCTATTATAAGCTCTGCTTAATTTTCCACATAAAGGTTTTATATTTTTTTAGAACATATTTAATGATTTAAAGTATAAATTTAAATATATTATAAAAAAAATGGGAACATTATTCACAATCTTTGCAAATAAAAAAAAGGATTAAAATTGCAACAGCTTCCATATGACCAATAACTACATTTACGACATTAAAACCAATCTTGATTGTTATTGTAATAATTTTATTGAACATAAAACAATTGTTTTTCTTATCAATAACTTTTTTATTTTTTTTTTATTTGCTCACTCTATTTCTTCTTTTTATATGGTGAAGAAGTTAAAATACCAGATATTGTTTATTTTTGCTTCCAGGCTTTTTATAAAATGTTGGGCATGAAAAAATTGATTCTGGGTCAAAATATTTAGAGTTTGTTGGCTCATTTGAATAAGAAAAATTGACTTAAAACTCATCTTGTCTAATTCCCAATGACATATCATTATTCTCAAAATTAACACTGTTATTATTATCATTAGTTTCCATAATTTAAAGTATTGGTAAATCATTTATGTATATATTATAACTTTCATCATTAAAAATTATAGGATTGAATGGCCAAATTCCACATGATTTAAAACCATTTTGAACTGTAGCTGGAGCACATGATTTAGATAAAATATCCTTGACTATACCTGGTATATCATAGATTATAAAATGTTACCATAATTAGTTCTCATCCATGAGTCAAGTTAAGAGTTATAATATCCCTTTAATGGACCAAACACTGTTTTATCCAAAGGTTGTAGTTTATGGGTACAATGTGGCGGGAGAGTTAATAATATTATCCCTTCCTCCAAGCAAAAGTCAATAGGTTTTAAGGATTAGTTAGAAATGTGATTATCTAATATAATAGGTCAATCTTTTGTAGATTTAACATGTTTAGCAAAATGATTTAAGAGAATTAAAAAGTTATCTTCTAACATCCAGCCAGAACCATTTGATATATCAATAGCACCAAGTGGTCCATCTCTTACAAAGTGATCATAATATTTGTATCAAGTTACCAGTGCATTGACTGCAATTGCTAAAGTCATAGTTCTCCCAACTTGTTTTTCGCCTTTCATGGCTAAAATTTGTAAGATTTCTGAACAGTTGTTAAACCTATAATAATAATATTTTCATATAATAATTGCATAGTAATTTTATATTAATTAAAATTAAATTGGAATTTTATATGAAGAATATATGATAAATTTCAAGATTATAATCACAGTTTCAACTTAGCAAAATATTAATGAATCTTAGATTAAAAAGTAGGGTTTTAATATTATTGAGATTATATTTGTATATAAATTCATTAATTTTATACCTAATTCTGTTTTAATAAATATCCATTTCTTATATGCCTTACATAAATCAATATTTTACCTGTTTCATCCATAAGATCTCATTTGCAGTTGGTCTAGTGGCATCCAAAATATTTTTAAGATTATCAAATTTTTTTTTAACATTTTCCTTAATAAAATTTGTTGCCCATGCAAGGCTAGTTGCTTCAGGACTCTTCGGTGATATAGAGGGATTTCTTTAAATAAATGATGCTAATTAATCTTGACCAGCAGCTTTGTTATTTTCTCAATATTGTGATACTTTTATATTATATTTACATGAAATTTGATAAGCTAATTTTTTGGCCTTTATTAAAATAAATTATGAACAATTAATAAATTTACTTTTTTAGGGCAAAGCCAAATACACGTATTTGCTGCTTTGATAAAATACTTTGAAAGTATTGCCATCAATTTTGTTCGGGTAAATTTATATTCTATTAAATAATATTTTTTTCTTTTATATAAGATGATTTTGGGTAAAAAAATGCATATTAATCTTTATTTTTGAAAAATAATAGAGGCTTATAAAGTTACTTTTGCAGATACGAATGCATTATAAAAATTACCCCATAGAGTTTAATCACATCTCGCTATAACTTCGGGTTCATTATATCCCCAGTCTCCCCTATCACTGAAATTAATTCGCATATGGTCGATGAATATTGTTCCAAAAAACCAACCACATTCCGGGAATACAAAAACTTCATGCTTCTATGCCTTGGAAAAATTAATTTATATTCATATCGAGAAAATTATTCCATTTACCATATAAAATTTTGCCTTCAATAAAATTATAATCAAAAATTGATTTGTATTTTTTGGTTATTTTTATGTGAAATTTAATCCATTAAATAAATTAACTAAGTCCCCTCCCCCAAATATTTTTACAGATCTAAATAAGAAATAACTATTCTTCTAAGTATTAAACATGAAATATTTGATTGCTTTTGACTTATATTACAATTAGTGATTAAATTTAATATCAAATATTTATAAAGAATATTTGAAATAGAATAATGATTTATGTCATATCGCCTTAACTTAAGCTCGGCCCAACTTTAGCGCATTTATTTAATCTTATATTCTATATATATAAAAAATTGAGAAAAAATAATTCCTGGATTTTATAATTATTTCCACTTTTTGACATTTAAAATGATTTAATAACTTTAAAGGCCTGCCATTGAGCTATATAAAGAAATTAAATAAAGCTTCTAGTATAATTATATTATAAGATATCTAAAATTAAGAGTAGAGCATTTTGACCAAAATGTTCCATTCGCCATTTAGAGGCCTATGTCTCCGCACTGTTTATAGTTCGAGGCTTAAATTTTATATTTTTCTTAGTTATATTATATACAAACTCTTTTAAAAATTAAAAATTTTAGAAAAATCTTAAGAGGTCAGGTTGAAAATCGTTTTTTTGTTGATTTATCATTGAATTCACAATAATTTTGAAAATAATATTGTTATTTTTACCTATTTAGCAATATATATATTTTTTAACTATTAGGTGAAATTGAATAAGGCTGAATTTAAGAAAAAGGCGACCCTATATATAAACAAAAAACACAACGGAACATTAAATCCAACCGTTCTCAATTATATGATAGACGATGTTTTTGCCTCTAATTAAAAAAGAATCGATTATGTCATTAAGACCAAGGTGTACATATGAATTTTTTTTAGTAAACTATCAAAATGTCCTATATAATGAAGTATGTTTTTATCAAAAAATTCATCCTACAATCCATCGGTACCTCAACACATTTCGACACTATATCAAAAAAAATTTATAAAAAAATTATTTGAAAAATAAAATAGAATTAAAATTATCAGATTATGAAAGGGATCGGATTAATTATTAATCCAGTTGTTTATTATAAAGTGTTGGGTATCCATATTTTCGTCTAATAATCAAGAAAATGTTGGAAAAACCCCAAAACAAGATATTTTTAGCAGACGCATCCTATTTATGCTACACATAATTGCTAGAATTATTTATGACTTTTGTGATTATGCTAAACATTTTTTAAGAAAGTTTCATTATTATAATTCCCTTCAATTAGACAGTTTAATTTTAAAATTGATATTTCTTTGTAATTATGACATTTAAATAAATAAAAATTAATTAAAAATATAAGAGCTAACTTTTCAAAATTATTCTTTTTCTAGGAAAAAGAATTGTAGGTAGTGTTAAAATACTTAGTTACATTTTTGCAAAATAGTAACGGAAACTAGTTACTTCTGAAGAAAAAACTGTAACTAGCGTCATTTTTTAGAATGTAACGACTAAAAGTAACGAAAGTTAAATAGAAATTTAGGAAAAATAAATCTTATTTGGTTATTTAATTTTTTCGCCCCCCATACCCCCTATTTTTGCGGGCCGGCAAATGAATATTATATTGTGCCATTTTTTTCATTGCAAATAAATATAGTGTGGTATATTTTTTTCATCGAAATTATTTCTTCATTAACAGTATTTGAAAAAAAATATTTAAAGATTTTTTTTATCCAAAACTTTGAACAAAAAATCACAAAATTGAAGTTTTTTTAAAGATCAAAATGATATTTTAAGAAATTTTTTATTTCATCATGAAAAATTTTTTATGCATAAAAATCACAAAAGATTTACTTGTAAAAGTTTTAAAAAAAAAGATTTGGAATTTTAAGTAAAATTTAACCAAAGAACTTTGAGCATTCTCAAAAAAATCTTTTTGCTGTAATTAAAGTTGGTAAATAAAAACCAATTTCATTTAAATCACTAATTTTTTAAATCAGTGATTTAAATAAATATTTTTAATAAAATTCTATTTACTAAATTTGATCAGAATACATAATATAAGACAAGACAAAGACTTCATGAAAAATACTAAATTGTACTAGTAATCATTACTTATAGATAAAAAAATTCTTGATTCATTTTGTTTTACATTGTTACAATATTTGACATAATTAATTATATAATTCTAATCTCAATGTAGTGACAAATTATTTAATATTCTAAAAAAATAATTAGTTTGTAAATTCAGGGTTGTGAACCCTGCTTTTTAAAAAAAGGGTTTGTTTTTCTAAAACGAAGAATGAATATCCTCAAATAAACTTTTAAACCAAATTAAAAAATTTATTTTTTGACTAATAAAATAATGGGGGATTATTTTAAAATTGTTATTTCCCTGGATGTCCTGCTGCATTAGCCAAATTTAAAATGTTCGTTAATACACTTAATTTTAAATAATCTTGATTAGTTTTATGGCAATTATTTGATGTCCCATAAATTGACATTCCTAAAACTACCTCTCCCTTTTTCTGTTAGTCATTTTTAAAATGTTTGGTTATTTGACAAAATTTAAAAAAAGATTAATTATATCTAAATTTGATTAGTTTATTATTTAGTTATTATTATATGGTTTTTTTCTATCTTCTAACCCCCAAATATGTTTAAAATTTAACATACAATGAAACCAAAGTGGCAATGGAACGTGTCTAATTTTATAACTTCATTACAGGCTACATCTGATTCGTTTAATAAAATAATGTTTTCAGATAAAATAAAAAAATGAATTATGGTCAATAGGCATTTATTTCATCGCAAACCAGTCAACAGCTTCAGTAGAGAATATTTTCATCTATGAAGTATATTCTAAACTTAGGAATCGTTTAGAAATACTAGTTATATTTAAAAAAACTAAATCAAATACCAATGTCGAGTAGAAAAAATGTTGCAAATATACTGTCAAAGTTAGACATAAAAATCGATCTTTTAATTTTAGCATATATATTTTGGAAGATATGATTATTCTCTTATAAAATTTTAAAAAATAAATTGAATATTCTTTTTTAAATTGTGTTGTATTCTAATTATAAATTTTTATGGTAAATGCTAAATATATTAAAATAAATTTTTAAAAAACCAATGTTTCTGTTATTTTTACTCAATTTAAGTCAATTTTTCAGGACTGCAAACTTTTTCTTTCTAACTCACTAATATCGACTTAATTTGCACATATCATCGATTTTTTGATTGACAGTCGGCTTTTCCTTTGACAAAATATCAAATTTTAATGACTTATCAATATATATTTTTCAATAATTAACTTTTAACTTACAAAGATATATTATACTTAGGTATAAAAAAAATGATATTTTTCAATCGCCAACCCTAGTTGTAAGACAAGCTTTGTCGTAAATCTGTATTGGACCTAATTTTTCAAGCAAAAAATTTGTCCGGCCCGATCTTGAACGAATTTTTAAAGATCAACCCGAAATAAAAATTAGTTGTTCGCCCGGCCCGTTCCGAATTTATTTATATATAGAAAAATTTAATATTTTTTTAATTTTAAAAAATGCTCTATAAATAAAAAATATTGGCGTCTTGTTTTATAAGAATTTTTAAATATATTGATTTATTTCACAAAATTGAATATAATATTTCAAAATTTAAGCCCAACCAGCCCCGGCCCGAATTTTAAAAAAAATATTAGGCACGAATAGAAATTATGGTAGGGATTTGTAGATCTCTGTGTCAATCATGTCAAAGTATTTTTCTAGGAGTGAAAAAATAAATTGATAAATATCAGAGGCCTGCAAAGGTACCATTTACACGTCCCGGATTGTTATTAAAAAAATTTTCAGAACCATCCCGGATCTTTAAAAATATATTCTATTTATTTTTAATTTTATAAGCTAATAACAGAGTTGTTAAACGCTACTTTTAAAAGAAGCGCGCTACCGCTATTTGTTAAAAAAAATAAGTAGCTCGCTATTAGCTAATATTTTTTAAAAGTAGCTTTAGCTACTTTTTATAAAAAAAATTGAAACAAATTTTTTATTTTTTGCTTATAATGTTATTGTATAGTAAATATATAAAAAAATTTATGTAATAAAAATAAATTATGGTAATTTGTTGCATTTTAATAATAAAATCATTTCAATATTATCATCCCCAAGTCTAGAGCGATGATCAGAAAGTATAAGTTTTGCCTTATTAAATAATCTCTCGACACTAGCACTTGAGGGTAAGGGCGTATTTAATCTTATATTCATATTTTTATTATAAGATAGATTATCAATAATTTTATTTCCAAGTACATCGTGTCTGGCATCCTATTATCATTTCGAGGGCTAATGCCACAGATCTTCTTTTTAAAGTTCTAGGGTATAGCCAATGGCCTGTGATTCCCAAATAAGCTCAAAAATATTTAATCAGATTAATTTATAAATATATTACCTTCTATGTGTTCAACTATCTCCCGTGGTACATATATATGATATCTCTGATAACTACTATTAGAGCATCTTTCATCATTTTAAAGTTATCTATTTTATTCATTAGTGTCTGGCGGCATAAAATTGTTGTACCAGGGGATAGAGTTTTAATCATCATGGTAAATGATGGATTATCAACTAAGGACATTGGCTGAACTGTATAAATTATAAAATCAACAATTACTTTATCAGCCAATTTCTGAGAAATATTGTCATTTGCTTTATTAATTAATTTGGTTTGAATTGAATTAGTCCTTTTGGATGTAGAGTCGCCTATGCCAAAATTATTTAGATGTTTCTCCATTTCCTTAAAACTCATGAACAGTCTTATAAAATAAATATTATTAGAATGTAAAAATGAAAATTTACCTTTAAATGTTTCTTGAGGTTATAGCTACTGGATTGATTTGAGGAAATATGTTTTTTTACATTTTTAACAAATAAATTTGAAACTGTTTATATATTTATTTTAAAAAATTTTCAAATCTAGTGAATGGGAAATTTGTATTATAGCTATTAAGAACATTTTCTTCCCTGGTATCTTCCATTTCATTAATATCATTGTCTGAACCACTTTCAACGATTTGGATATTCATAGGCGATGATATTTTAAATTATTAACACGTGATTTAGGTTTATAATACAAATGAAAATATAAATTATAAATTGAAATTATATTTTAATTTCAAAATTAAATAATAAAAATTATAATTAATTATGATATTATATTTAAATTTTCATGTTTACACTTAGGTTCATTATATTTTTTAAAAGTAGCGAAGATGCGGCTACTTAGCTACTTTCAAAAAAAGTAGCGCGCTAAAAAATTAAATAATTACAAAAAAAGTAGCCGCTATTAGCTACCAAAAAAGTTAACGCGCTATTTTAACAACTCTGGCTAATAATTGCGATTTAAAATATTTGGTTTTAAAATAAACGGCTTGGTAAAATTTTTTTGGGCCCGACCTGGGTATATCTAAAAAATTGCCTGGCCTGAAGATTATAAATGTTGATATTAATTTTGTGATCTTGAAATAAAAAAATATATTGAGATGCGATTGCCTTTCATATCGATATTTAAACTTAATTATAATTTTTTATTATAGGTTCATTTAACAGAATTCTCTTCAAACTAAGACTACAACACTTAAATAAATCTTCAGAGATCAAAATCTTTTACGATTTTTTATTTTGAAGAGCATTTCAAACTCCGATAAATTGTATTTTCATTTAAATTATTTTGCTTAATTTGTAAATAACAAAATTATTTTCTATAATAAAAAAAATTATATTAAAAATGATGATTATATAAATAATTTACAAGGTAACCTGCATCGTCATAACTAATTACTTTTAAATATGCACTAATTACTATTAACTTTTAAAATCACTAGTTGCAAGATTATAATTTTTTTAAATGTCCAGTAGTTTATTAACACTAACGAGTGAAAGCTAACTGTCTGGTATAAAATGATCGAGAACCGGGCGAGGCCTATTAAAGGGTATTCAATCCTATCTTGTCTTTACATTATGCTGGACAGTTAAAAATTTTTGAATTATTTTAATTTAAGATTTCTTGTATAGTTTATATACTAATATTTTTTTATGTAATAGGATAGGATAATAAAAGGTGCCTTATTAATAATTTTTCCCCGAAATGAAATCGAAAAAATAGTTTTAATAATAACGACCACATCCCGGTATTATCTTAACTCCTTATCCGTTTTCCTTGATATCCTATAAAATATATCATATTAGCCAAAAAGTAACTCAACTCAATAAAGTGACCATGGAATGGTAGTAGAGCTGGGTTCTTTCTTTCTATTTTTATAAAGCACAATAATAGCAAAAACTAAAGTCAAGACAAAATATTCTTATTTTTTTTTGTTCTCAGGTCTAAATGGTGACTTTGCAAGACTTGAAAAAATATTGGTCTTATAATGTCGGGGTTCGGTTCTTTTATTTTAATATTGGTGGTTTTAACCTTTACCACTAAGATACGAGTAATGATGCATAGAGTCGAACTTTGCTTATAAGCAAATCAATTTATTATCACATGATTTATGTGGATTTAACCTAATTTCTACTCGTTTTTTATATAGAAGATGACCTTGAACATAAGAAGTTGATCCATATCTTTCAGCCCTATTAATCAACATATATAACATATTTCCAAGTAGATCACTTAAATAGCAACAATCAAATAGTTCAGGCTAATTGAAAATGTTTAAGTCAAAAGTCAATGATAGTTCCTAAATACTTGAAATCAGTTACATATATCAAAGCTTAATGTTTAGCTTTGGTATAAAGAAACGTTTTAGTGTAATTAAATTGTACCCATTACTCATATCTCTGACACAGGGGTAAAAAAGGTTTATAGATCAATTGTAAAAGTTACCGCGATTAAAGCAAAGTGGCAATGTAAAATCTTAGGAGAAAACTAAGAGCCAGATACTAGATTGAATTTTAAAATGATTGAATAAGCTATTTATAATGAAATTTAAACTTATTTATAGGTAAGAGGGAACATAAAAAACGCCAGAGCAAAATAATAGCCTTTTAGAGAAAATGAAGAAAAACACTTACTATATAAACAAGTATTATTCGAAATGAACAATTTTATAATGAACTAAAACATTTTTGTTTTGATTTAGCTTGAACGCGGGCCCATTTTTTTGACAATGAAATTTAATATCCACTAGAAGGCTTGGATTTGGTAGAAATAAATTTAGCATTTTAAAAGATACAGTGAATGCAATTGATGCATTATATTTTAATTCGTGACGGACTGAGAAAATATAACTTGAATTTATAAATTGTTAACTTCTGTGACCAGTTCTCGCAGTATATTTCTTTAGCACTAATAATAGGAATACGATTCCAAATTTAATTTAAAAAAATTAAATATAATAATATATTTTAATCTATCTATAGTATAAGTGAGGCAAGGATATTTGTTCGATCAGGAGTGAGTGATGGGTAACCATACTGATAAGCAGTGTAGAATATTTTGCATTTAAGTTAAGGTTCTTTTTAAATTATATTATTTAGTATTTATAAAACATAAACCGATTCATAGAGGTTATAAAGGTAGGTTAGCTCCTTTGAATTTTTTTAAAATGGTTCGGGTCAAAAAAATATATTATTTCGGCTTGGATACTGCCGGCAAAAGAAGACTGGCATAAGTAATTTTTTGATGACATAATTATTTCCCTATAGGGCAGAAAAATTAGTATTAAATTTTGGATCATGCCTAACAAACAATAAGCTTTTGTAAATATCAGGTCAGTTTAAATTTGAACTAATGGAATGTAATCTTTACAATACAAAAAATATTTTCTCAGTGTAATTAAAAATTATATATTATACATATTTTAAATCTTATAATTTACAAAAAAATAAATAAAGTAATATAAAAATTCAATAAATGATTAGAGAATTTCATCTATTATTATATAAGGCTGGTAGGCAAGGGAAATGCATCTTGAATAATAGGGGAATATTCAACGCTAGGTGCATGAGCAAGACATTTTAAATGATCATGTACAGTTTTCCTAGTGGTGTCTAAAAGCTAAAATTAATATTTTATATTAAAAAAAATACAGTATTTCTATTTAACTTTGTTTTTTTTTAAAAAATAAGCTTGAAAACTGCTTGCGGGTATTTACTTACCATTTATGAAATTTATATTAGCCTAATTTTTATCTCTAATATTAATCCTGTAAGGTCTTTATTAAAATTTTTTATGTTTTATTATAAAAAATATACATTGTAATATTATGATTAGATTGATTAAGGCCCTATAAAATTAAATAAAATAAGCTTTGGGCATTAAAAAATTATTAAGTAAAATATAATGTTCGATTAGTCAACTAAGATTTTTTAAAAGTCGATTCCTCAAACGTTTTAAATTTATTTATACCTAAAAAATGGTATCACTTAGGTTTTCAATCTAATCTCCCTAGTTATAACCTTCAAATTCAATTTTAGTGACCTAGTATAATCGGAAAAACTAAATTCCTAAGGTGTTTATATTATATTTCACTTTAAAATGAAGGTGATGGATACTGATGTTGTGCTCTCCCTAAAATTGAAAAACGGCTCAATCATAAGACATGTGCCGAAAAAATATTTGTTATGCCTTGAGGCCTGGATGATATTTATCGGGATCCGTCTAAGGCCTAAGGTTGAATCATTTTTTAAGCTAAAACCTTGAGGCTTAAGAGATTATTTTTATTTTGAATGAGGTGATTTAACACTACTTATTTTATTACTAAATTTATATTACTTTTGCAAAATTCCTAATAATAAATCTATATTTTTTTTATAAGCAAATATTTAATATAGCAAGTACAAGCACTAATGAAAGATTTAGTAAATTTTACCTGTCGAGAATTTTGATTTTCAACTTTGGGATGAATTTCATAATGCAGAGTATAATCCGGACCAAAATAATTTCGATATTCTTTAGAATATAAAATAATTAATTTAAATTAATATTTAAAAAAAATTAACCAGATTCTTCGGGAATTTTATTATCGATTTCCTTATCCAAAATGAGAGATGTTTCATAAGCCCAACAACGAGCTACATTTCGTATTGTATATCCGCCCCCACCTAAAATTAATAATGGGATTCCCAATTCTTTAACGAACTTAACGCATTGTCTAAGGTAATTCGTTCAATAAATATATAATTTTAGAGTTAAATGTAACCCATGTCCATTTATACTAAGATTAAAACATCCTAATCGATCACCGCATAATGAATCTGCTCCACACTTGACATAAATATAATTAAGACCAAGTGTAAAATATAAAACTTGAAGAACAATAACATTAGGTTGATAAAATTGTACAACGTCTTTGATGATAGGTTTGAATATATAGCTATATGCTTAAAATAATATTGAAAAAGAATTTTTTAAAAAATGGTTGTTACCTTCATCATCAATACCTTCTTTTAATGGCACATTAACGGCATAATATTTTCCTGCTTCCGCCCCCACTTCATAAATATGACCTAAAATTACAAAATAATATGTAGATTGATCGAAAAAAAACGAAAAATGACCTTGTAAAACACAAATTTAGAAGTGAGCAACCTAATTTAAGAAACGTTTTACAAAATGACAACAAAATACATTTTAATTATTAACATTGAATAATAAAGTTTAATTCATTTCAAAATTTAGTTATATTGTATTGTGTCAAATAAAACAGTTATGTTTTCATTTGACGCTTATTTAAAAAATACAAAAAAGTGACTGTGAAAGTATAATTTTGACTAACTCACAGAAAGTGCATTATTTTTTTAAAAAAATATCCGGGTCAGGCTGAGCCTAAAATTTTTAAAAAAATAACTCGGCCGGGCCGTATATTTTTTTAAATCGTAATCATTAGCTATAAAAATTAAAAATAAATATAATATATTTTTAAAAAATTCAGGCCAGGCCGGAAATTTATTTTAAAAAACAATCCAGACCTGGCCTGAAAATATAAAACCTGGGTGGCGAAAAAATTTTTTATAAAAAAAAATCTGGGCCATGTAAATGGTACCTCTGCAGGTCTCTGATTTACATTAAATAAATACAAAATTACCCACAAATCATAGTATTATAGATTTTTTTTTATATTTTAACAAATTTTGCTTACTTTCTTTCTATTTTTGAGAAATATTTAAGTAATTTATATTATATATTAATTAAGGCCTGATGTGGGGAAGAGAGATTTTCATCATCCAAATCAAATATATCAGAAGAATTTTACATTGCTTCTGCACATTTCATCAGAATCAATTACTTCTTCTACATCTGAAGTCTTAGATTCTTAAAGCTACAATTTCTATAATTCTTTTAAAATATTTTTAGTCTTGTTTTCTTTATTCAAACTATTTTGACATAATTATGATATCCATGCCACAAACATACATATATACAAATAGCAGAACTAAATTTTTCTTATAATGATGATCCAAATAATTATTTAAAAAAAGTCCAGTGGCAATGGCATGGCATTCAGGGATAGATATAACTATAAAATATTACTTAAATTATGTGATCGTGCAATTTGCTCTATATGAAATATTCTAGTTTGATCCAACAACATAAAAATTTGAAAATTTCTTGAACTTGGCATGTCAGATCTAGTTTTATTATTTTAAGGCTGGATTTGGACCTCAGAAAAATTTAAAATTATTTCACTCTCCTAATGATATTATAAATATCTTTTCAAAAATACCAATTTTTTTAAAAATTTACTTTATCACTTATGATTTTTCTGCTTTCCTAAAATTATGGATCAAACAGGAATCTTTGGAACATATATTAAGATTGAATAAATCAAGAATTATTTTCAGATTGGACCAGACCCATGCTTAAATATATAAAAATAATTCACATTCTAAACATTTTATTTTTAAAGATTATAATTCATATACAATAATCTATACTATTATGGCAATATTAATTACTTAACAAATGATAAATAAATTAAAACTAATTATGACTAAAAATTACCTGTTCCAGGAAAAAATAAATTCCCATATTTATGAAAACTAACTGTCATAACTCTATCAGTAAGATAAAAGGCTTCTTGTACACCATCACCATGATGAATGTCAATGTCAATATATAGAACACGAGGATTATATCTTTATTTAAACTCAATTTTAAAAGGCAAAATTTGTATAGTACTTAAGTAATTCTATAATTGCCAAAACAATGTCATTTACATAACAAAATCCAGAAGCTTCAAATTTTTTTGCATGATGTAAACCGCCAGCCCAATTTATAGCAATGTCACATAGCTTTAATAAAATTAAAAAATCTAATTTATTTAAATATAGCCATGTTTTAAAATTATTTTATTAATATATTATTTAATTGTGAAAAAAAATTATTAAGATATATTAACAGACCTGATGGTTTAATAGTAATGCTCCTTCTAATGATGCTCCAGTATACATAGAGCAAAATTCAAACAAATTTGGGAACAAAGGACTAAAATATTTATGAAATTAAAATATAGTATTATTTGTTACCAATCTTCTCCAACATTAAATTTAGATAGAAATTTTGAGTTATCTTGTAATTTTATTTTATTGTTTTTCAAAAAATCAATATATTCTTTGGAATGAAAATTATACATGTCAACTTCATTGGCCCTTTTTGGTCTATATAACTTTAAATAGTAGTTGATATAATATATTATTAAAATGACAATACTTTCATGTATTTATCTAATTTATATGTTAAAATAAGATCATGTGTTAAGGCTAAGCGATGTGGTTTCATTGGGTGATTGGCCCCTAAAATATATTAGAATTTCGAATGTACTAATTATAATTACCGTAATGAAAATTACTAACTTCTGTATCATAAAAATAGATTACATTCTTATTCATATCAACAATGCAAAATATTGGTCAAAAACATATCCTCAATAGATAGCTAAATTTTTACAGCTGATTTGAAGGACAAAAAAGGCAAAATTTGCTATGTATTTCATCTGATATCAAAAAAATTTTAAGGATCTTTTCTTTATTTTTCTTTAAAAAATCCTACCCAGTGTGTCAGAAGTTTGTGCATTTTAACGAAATTTGGGTTTTATAATTAATTTTATTTTAAATATTGGGCTATATTATATCTATCACATATTAAAACATATGGTCAGCCATTTTAGCTTTTAAAACTCAGTAGATATATTTCTTTCATATCTAATTTTTCTAATAAAAGTATTTGATGTAAAATTTATATACAATATATGGAGGCATTGGCTCTTCATGATTTTATAGCATCAGCTCATGATGAATTAAGTTTTACTAAAGGGCAAATATTAAAGGTTTATTATTTTTTTAACTTTGAAGTTCTAATAATTCTTTAAAATTAGGTTTTAAATATGCAAGAAGATCCCAATTGGTATAAAGTTGAAAGAAATGGATTGGAAGGTTATGTACCTAGTAATTATATCCAGATGAAACCTTTCAGGTTTGTTTTACTTTATATAAATATAATTTATTTATAAAAAATATAATTAGATGGTACAAAGGCCAAATGACAAGAGCTAAAGCTGAAAATTATTTGTCAAAGCAATCAGAAACAGGAACTTTTATTGTAAGATTGAGTGAAAGTTCACCTGGTGATTTCTCTCTTACAGTCAAGTTTATTTAAAATAAATTGTTGTATCATATATAATTAATATAGAGTAAATGATGGTTACCAACATTTTAAAATTTTGCGTGATTCTTTTGGAAAGTATTTTGTTTGGGTAGTAAAATTTGAATCAATAAATCAATTATTGGATTATCATCGTGTTAATTCTATCAATAAAAAAGACATTATTTTATTAAAAGATTGTGAACCTGAACAAGTTAAATTGATTTATACCTTTAATATTTTAAAATTATTCTTATACATATCAAGAAAAATATTTTTATATCGATTTTAAGTTGATTTTTTTATTAATATTTGTAGTTAACTGATTCTTATAAGTTTATTTTTATTATTTAATTTAAAGATTATTAAAGTTGAAGCCTTATATGATTTTGAAGCCAAGGAACCTGATGAAATTTCCTTTAAAAAGGGTGACATAATTAGTGTTACAAGTAATTTTAAATGAAAATAATATAGATTTAGTCAGTGGTATAACAATGTTTTCCTCCCTTTTCCACCCTTAGTAAAAAATACATTTGTTTTATTGTGGCTGTTTCACAGATCTAATTGAATATTTCTGCCGATATTCATGTAGAACCAATTTGATAAATAATAAATACTGATTGGGTATTAACATTCATTATTATTTACCATCTATCTTTAAATCAATTTAATAAAAAATAATATTTACCTTTTAAAAGAGAAAAATAATTCACCTACAGGCAAAACAAGATACATTTTGAAATTTTCTATTTTTCTTGGCCAAGGCATTATTTAATATATTATCACAAATAATTAAGTGTATTTTGTTTTTTTTATTTTTATTTAAAATATGGGCTATGTTTATGGTTCAATGTGACTTATTAAATATTTTATAATCCTTTATTGTGAAGATAACAAAAAAATATGATATTTATAGCTATTTTTTCTTAATTCAATTTTTTAGAAACACAACAAATGATTCTTTTTATTTATTTATTAGTAAAATCATAAAATAATCATAAACAATTATTATATAGTATCAGTTTTTTTGAAAATATTGGTCTGATCTACAAAAATAAAATTGGTAAAAATAGGAATTGGTCCTGATTCAATATTTAATAGAGGCATAACTCTAGTTTTTATGCTACTTCTTATATCAAACTTATCAAAATATTTACAAAATTTGAATAGTTTAAAAATCAATGTAATTTTTAATCTAATTGTTAAATAGGCATGGGAAAATATTTTAATATGGCAATAAAAATGTTCGATAAAAACTAAAAGTAAATTTACCTTCCCCCCCCCCTTTTCCACTCCTTTTTAAAAAACAATTAAACCTTTTCAAAAAATTAAACCTTTTCCTTCCTAGGAAACTTTTTTAACCTTAAACAAAGAACCATATTATCTTTTAAATAATGACAAGAATTTAATTAGATGTGTATACATATTCTTAAATAATGACAAGAATTTAATTAGATGTGTATACATATTCTTAAATAATTAAAAATATTTTTATTTGGAAAGCACTATTTTTTTTCTTTAAAATTTGATTATACCTACTTTTCAAAACTATTCCAATATTTGAAATGAACTGGGCATAAAGGATGGGGACAGAAGGTCACTCAAGTCTTTCCTAAAATAGTAAAGAGTGGCAGGGATTGACTGCTAAAATATTGGAGACGAGGACAAGTGGATCAGGTTTAGAGGAAATAATATTTATGAATGATTTAAAATGTTCTATTCTATAGCTAAGCTAGAAATTTTTTTGATCATTATCCCTATCTAGAGTAATTGCATCTTCATTCAGATTTCCCACAAATATTATCTAGTGATGGTTATTAGGGATGTTTCGTACTAGAACCAGGCCTTCCATATTTGGATCCATTTTCTATTGAAATTGGTTATAAATTGAGTTTTTGAAAAATATGTAAATTATTTATTAAAAAAATTAAGATTTATAAATTATAAAATATTCTTTTGTTTAAAACAGAGTTTGAAATGATCTTTAAAATATAAAATCTTCAACGATTTTTTATCTCTGAAAATTTGTTAAAATGGAAATTTTTTTGAAAATACTGACAGGTAATGATCAAATTTTACCTAAAATTCCAAATCTTTTTTGTAAAAAATCTTTTATTATTAAATCTTTTAATTTTTATGCATAAAAAAGTCTTTCAAAATGAAATCGCAAATTAAAATTTTTTTTGATCTTTAAAAAAATTTTATATGATTTTCAAAAATTTTTTGCTCAGAATTTTTGTGCAAAATTTTTTTTTAAAATTCTGGTATAAAATTTAATGTAAATTATAAATAATAAGGATTTACAAGTTACAGTCACAACGCAAAAAAAGAAAAAGTATATTTTTTTTTCTAAATTCCGAGAATTAAACTTATAAATTTTTTATTATTACGATGGATAAATTTTTAATTAAATTTACATTCTATGTAAAGGACAGTTTAAATATTTATTTAAGATTTATTAATATGATAAAATCTAAATTTTAAATTAAATTCGAGGAAATGAAAAGTAAAGAAAAAGTTTTGAAAGAAAAAATTAGGACAACAATTTAGTCAAAATATGGACAACTAAAATGTATTTTCTTATAAAAAATAATATCACTGGCGAATGAATAATTTTGGAAAATAAAACAATGGATGCAATTATTTTGGACATGGATAATGACCAAATTTGTTAGCCTTGAAAAATTCGAATCATATGATATGGAATCGGAAATTTTTATTAGTGTAAAGGCCTAAAAAGTTTGCAGGAATTATAGGAATATTCCCAAGAAGGAAATTAAAAATTCTCGAGGGTATTTAATAGTTCTATGCCTTTCACCGATCCGATCCGTTATTTTTTGACATTACCAATAACCCGATCCGATATTTATATTGATTTTTATTTACCATCTCTCTTTGTGACAATGTTCATAAATATATCAATTTTTACTTTAAAAAAACCAACTAACTTTCACAAATGATTAAATAAAATTCTCATTTAAAATATTTCCAATGTTTATGGGTAAATGGTTAAACAACTCCATTTAGTCTATTTTTAAAAAGGGCCAAATCAAAATTTTAACCAGAATAGTATTGCCTATGCCTCTAAATTTCGCCAATAGAAGTCCAAACCTTGTGGGAAAAATCAATAAGCTTGTTTACTCTTGGCTAAAATTTTGAATTAATCGTTTTTAAAATTAGCTAAATAGAGCCGTTTAGCAATACTAACTGAATATGACTCGTTAGATGTTTTAAAATTCTTTTCTTTTTGCAGATATAACAAAAAATAGTGTAAAATTTATATTTTAAACATTACAACAAATGAATTTTATATTAGTTCCTTTCATTAATTTATTATTATGAAATTATTTATAAAATAAAATAATTATATAATTATATATACAATTATAAAATAACCGAAAACAATAAAATAATATCGGATAGGATCGTTTTTTTTAAAAGGATCGATCCTATTCGATATTTTTGAAAACACTAAATATTGGTGCCAACCCGATCCGATATTAAATATCTGGACAGCCCTAATACTTAAACATTTGTAATATCATTAGAAAAGCTTCAAGATATATTGCAAACTTATATTAAACATTATCCATATATCACTATATTTTTATTTTCCTCAAGGTACATTATTATATCAGTTGATTTTATTTGACCTTTAAAGCAAGATTATAATAAGAAATTTTTTTAAAACCTGAACTATTATATATAAAATTGCCCACAATAAGAATGGTGTTGTTCATTTCAAGGGTATCAAAGATTAATATTTTGCAGTAGTTGTCATATCTTCCTCCCCCCTATTTATTAGATTATCTTATTGACAGATGCCATATATGATTTATTTTAGGGTTAAGATATTTGCCAATTTATATTTGACTAATTTGCGATATTTTTAACATTCTAGTAAATTATTGGCAAATTCTCAAAATAACTTAAATTCCAAATTTCCGGGAATTTTACATTGTTAGACATTTTTGATTAATAATGACTAAGATTATTTATAAATCGGTTCTCCGCCGGTACTCTCATAATATCGATCCTTCTTAAACCAGAACCTCGTTAGACAAAATCTGTCCACTTTTCATGACCAACTAAGTGATCGGCTATAGAAAAAATCTAGATTTTATAGGAACTAAATTAAACGATATGTATTAAGACAGACAATATATCTAACCTAGAAAATTATAGCTGAAACTAATAAAATGTACTTGCCTACGGAAATTAAGATCGACTAGAACAATATGTTTTCTTAACCCGAATGACACTCAAATGAAATTTAAAAAGATCCAATTACTGATGTCTTTTTGACATATTCAGGGGCAACCCGACCTTAGATTCTTTAAACTTAATCGAAGGTGGATGGGCTAATCCATGAGGTTTCTTAGCATCCACAAAATCGAGCTCTTTTAGCGTTTTTACATGCAAAGAAAAATTAGGAGGGATCTCACGGGGGTTTTATTATGATTAAAATTACAATTGTAGAATGAATACTGATTATGTGTGTTAAGAGAATACCTCCTGAAATTTTAATGACGCAGTTGATTAATGCCCTCTGTATTAGAGGGATCTGCTATGTACTCAACTTTTAATTATATTAATGTGCCTTTTAAAGTAATTATTCATTCCTTTAATAAAAATTACTAAGATAAAACCGGACAAAACTGGTGGGAAGGATGTGTGGATAATAATACAGGAATGATACCAGTAACCTATGTGAAGGAAATCGAAAATAAATTAACATAACTTTTCCTTCTTCAAAGTCCAAAATCTCATGAATTATACTTATAATATTCACATGTTTTTCTTAAATATAATATATTAAATAAATTAGTCAAATCTGTTTATTTAAAACAATTCTTATACATAACTAATATTATTTATAAATTGTTCAATTATGTAATATTAAATTCCTACCTGTATTTTTTAGACCTATGCACCAATAATAAAATTGACGGGACCTTCGATATAAGTGTTAATTTTTATTGTCCCGCTTCTATGAAAAATAGTCATGCCCTATTTTGTCAAATAATTGCTTTGCCTGGCGTTTAGTGTTGTTAAAACGCCGCGAGTCGCGACCCCGACCCAAAGCTCGGGTCGTTTTATTCGACTCCGACTCAAAGTTTGGGTCGTTTTTTTCGACTCCGGCCCAAGTCCAAGCCGAAAAAAACGACCTCGACCCAAAATATGGGTCGTTTTTTACGACTCCGACTAAAAATTTGGGTTGTATTTTTCGACTCAAACTTGAAATTTGGGTCGTATTTTTCGACTCAAACTTGAAGTTTAGATCGTATTTTTTGACTCAAACTTGAAGTTTAGATCGTATTTTTCGACTCCAACTCAAAGTTTGGGTCGTTTTTCTGACTCAGACTCAAACATCGTGTCGTTTTATTCAATCCGACCCAAAATATGGATCTTTTTTTTTAAAGATGACTTAAAGTTAGGGTTGCTTTTTTTCACCCTTAACTCAATATCTAGATCATTTTTTTTGACCAAAAGTCAAATAACATTTAGTATATATTAATATTATAGGCGGGAAAGTTACTTAAAGCTTCTTTAAATTATAATGCTCTGGATTAACTATTCATCATAGTTATTTTTTAAAATTTTTAAGTGAAGATGCACCATAGAAAAGAGCCATTTGTTATGATGGTTATTTTTGCCCGTAGCTACGCCACTGTACGATAGACTACTTTCCCCCTTTCTTTGGGTCTAAATATATATTGTAGACATGTTAAATCAAAATTTCAGTGAAGATGTACCATAGATAAGTGACAATTGTCATAATCGCTATTTTTGAACTTTTTTGAGTTTTTTTAAAGCAAATTGCTAAAAATATATATTCTAAACATGTTAAATTAAAAATTCAGTGAGGATGTATCATAGATAGGTGACAATTGTCATAATCGTTATTTTTGAACTTTTTTCAAATTTTTAAAGCAAATAGCTAAAAATATATATTCTAAACATGTTAAATTTAAAATTTGTGAGGATGTATCATAGATAGGTGACAATTGTCATAATCGCTATTTTTGAACTTTTTCAAATTTTTTTAAAGGAAATATCTAAAAATATATATTCTAAACATGTTAAATTAAAAATTCAGTGATGATGTATCATAGATAGGTGACAATTGTCATAATCGCTATTTTTGAACTTTTTCAAATTTTTTTAAAGGAAATAGATAGCTAAAATTATATATTCTAAACATGTTAAATTAAAAATTCAGTGAGGATGTATCATAGATAGGTGACAATTGTCATAATCGCTATTTTTGAATTTTTTCAAATTTTTTTAAAGGAAATAGCTAAAAATATATATTCTAAACATGTTAAATTAAAAATTCAGTGATGATGTATCATATATAGGTGACAATTATCATAATCGCTATTTTTGAATTTTTTCGAATTTTTTTTAAGGAAATAGCTAAAAATATATATTCTAAACATGTTAAATTAAAAATTCAGTGAGGATGTATCATATATAGGTGACAATTGTCATAATCGTTATTTTTGAACTTTTTCAAATTTTTTTAAAGGAAATAGCTAAAAATATATATTCTAAACATGTTAAATTAAAAATTCAGTGAGGATGTATCATAGATAGGTGACAATTGTCATAATCGTTATTTTTGAACTTTTAACAATTATTTTAGAAATAGCTAAAAATATATATCCTAAACATGTTAAATTAAAACATCAGTGAGGATGTATCATAGATAAGGGACAAAAAATGGTTATTATAATACGAGTAGTAAGGTACATAATATTTTTAAGTGATAAAATGAGATGCTAATATATTTCTTGTAATTTTAGTTTATAATAAAATTCTTAAATCTTTGAAGTTACTAGTTAGGATAAAAGTTACTTGGCACATCATACAATGATATTTATACCTTGTTTTTTTTTTCGAGAATAAATTTTATGCGATATCTCATGAAGGAAATTACATACCATTGTACAGAGAAATAACTTTGTATATATTATCTACACCAATATCTTTTATATCAATCTCTATCGATGACATTTTAAATTATATTGGAAACTAGATTGTGTAGATTTCTAAATATTAATTTAAAGGATTAAGATTTTAGAATTAATTATAAATATATCTTAATAATTTTTATATTGCATTTATTATTTAAAATCTCTCGTTTTAAGCCTATTTAGCAAGAAAAATATTGACTAATCCTGAAATTACGATAATAGATATCTATACCTTTATATAATCTATGAGAAAAATTGCTCTCATAATATTCTTCTTAATAAAATAGTGAATAATTGCCTGAAAAAAAGTATAGCGCTTTATAACATGGTTCAAAGTTAATCCCAGTATCAATTTTAATGTGTAATTTTTCTCAAGTGTTCAAAATTCTAAATCTTAATATCAAAAACTATTTTAGTTATCAATTTAAAGTCAAATAATATTAAAACACTAATATTCTCCAGTATTCATAAAAAACAACAGCCTGAAACAAGAATACTAAGCTCAAAACATCTTAAATATTTGATACATTTATAGTTTAAATATTTTTATTTAAATTATATATATTTATTAATGTACAAAAAATTTAATTTAACAATATATATAGATATAAAAATTATGTATAAAATTTATTATTCATGATATTGATATCCCATGAATTTAAACATAAACACTGTTTAAGTGTTTCGGAGGCCATGCGATTTCTTTTCTTTGTTACGGTGTCCACCCCTCTTGAGAAGACACGCTCGCTCTCAACGGATGTACTTTGCTGCGACAAAAAATCTTTAGCCATCATGCAAAGGTACGGAAAACGCTCAGAATTACAGTACTACTTAAAAAAACTCGACTTAACACTACATTTATGAAAAATATGGCTCGCCTAAATTATTAAATTATATTTAAAAAAATTCATATTTTAATTGAAAAAATGCATCCGGAATCGCAAATACTTATTTAAAAAATTTATTGTTTTATTAGTTTAAAAATTCCATATGGAAGTGAAGTGACTATTTAAATTCTAAAATTATAAAAGATATTTTATTTTACTTTTAGTGGTGCCAGCTAGACGGCAAATTTGTTGAGATTTTTTCTTTTCTTCATTGTTAGGGATAGGGATATGATTAATAATCATTTTTTTTAACTTTCCAAATTTTTTTTATTATTTTTAGGGGTATAAATCTAAATTTTTTTATTTTATTCATTTTTTGTTTTTAAAATTATAATTTAATATTATTAACATAAATTTTATTAATAAAAGTTTTCCAATTTAAATCATTTCTTAAATATTATTTTTATATAAAACTTTTCTTAGTGTGATGTCTCAAAGTTCAAGTTCTACGCCAGCAAGGTCAACTCAAGATGATAGAGAAAATCAAGTAAATCAATAACCATAAACCTCTATGATATTATTTCGATTTTATGCAATTATAACCTTTATTTTAATATATTTATAATTTTAGATGGAGCCTTTTTCGGATTCACTAATAGAACAGGATTTAAATTCTGCGATTAATAGTAGTTTCAATATTAAATCAAATTATAATTATAGTCCAAATAAATCACAAAAAATGCAATCATTGCGAAAAAATATATCGTTCCACTACCGCTACAAGTTTAATAAATTTTTGTTTTTATATAGTTACATTAAATTAAATTTTCAAATTTAAAAAGAAATTATTCCTTATGGCAGTAATGTTTTTTAATATTTAAAAAAACATAAAATATTTCGGGGTTTTTAGGATTTTAATGTTGGTCTAGAATTGTTTTGCTTTCCTCCAGTTTTTAAATATTTTTAAGCTAAAAGTGGATAATAACTTATTTATTTTCAATATATAAAAAAATAAAAACTAAATTAAAAAAATTTTAATTTTTATGACGGTACAGCTTTGTCAATTTTGCGATATTTGCTTATAAAGATTTAATTATTACTTCATAATGGCCTATTTTATCTTATTTAAGTGCTAAATTTACCTATCCTTTTATTTTTTACTCTAATTTTTTATTATTTTAAACCTAATTAAAATATAGAAAATATATTCAATATATAAACCTGGCTATATTTTTCAAAAAAGGTAATAATTTATACTTAATAATAATTATTTAGAATATTAAGTTAGGTTACTATTTTTTTGGAGGAGCTCATTATTATGTTGTTCAAACGTCGCGACCCCGACCCAGAGTTTGGGTCGTTTTTTTGACTCGGACTTCTTTTTATATTAAATTTTTTTGTTATTTTTTTAAATGTTTTTTATGTTATTTTTTTTTGATATATTATTGTTCTTTTGTGATTGGTTAATTTATTTTATTTTTAAAATAATATACATATATTTTTTTAGGTTAGGGTACCTTTTCAGGGGCAATTATTTTTGTTATTTTTTAATGTTATTTTTTGTTATTTTTTTTATGTAATTTTTTTATGAAAACTATTGTTTTTATGTTATTTTTTTATGATTGGTTCATTTTCTTATTGGTTAATTTTTTATTTAAGATATTTTTAAATTAATATATCTTTTTTTATTTAAGATATTTTAAAATAATTTTTTCTAAAATTTAAAATTCGTACAATTATTTAAAGGAAGTGATGGGGGCAAATAAGGGGGAAGGCTAGGGGTAAGGGGTAAAATTATTAGATTATGTACAATGCGGGTAGGTTTGGGGTTAAATTTTTGATAGATGAAACTTCGCTATTTAAAATTTATTTGGTTGATTCTTTCTATACAAACTTAATATGATTTCTTCTAAACAAACTTAATACGATTTCTTCTATACAAACTTAATATGATTCCCTCTATACAAACTTAATATGATTCCTTCTATACAAACTTAATATGATTCCTTCTATTTTTCTAAAATTTGTATAAAGAATTTAATTTTTTTTAGTGATAACACTATAATTAAAGGAAGATTCCAAAATAAATAAAATTTAAGCATAACAATCGAAATAATTTATTCATTAAATTGAAATATACTA